TTTTGCTGTAGATTTAATTAGAATCCTGGCCGGACACACATCTACTAAGAATCTCAGGACTAGACTCTCCGGCCAAGGACCTGACCCTTAAGGACAAACAAAGACTATATATTTGCTCTATTATTTCTTTGTTGTAATAACACTTCTTGGCAATAAATCTTATACTATTACTTCCCCTTAAATGGTATATATAAGGAAAATGCATGTGTGTATTAAGCAGCAGAGTTGAGTATGTGTGTCCACCCACAAAAAAATTTTGACAAATTTTCTCTGTCAATACCAACAAAGTGGACGTTCAAAGAAGACGACACCACAAAGAGACTGTGTTGTCATTCGGTCAGCACTTGGGAACTGCAGGCAGACTTTCAAGTCAAAGTTTGCAGGACAATATGGCTGACAACTCTGTCCTCAGACAATCCTGAATAGGCTGCAAACCGCCTGTCCCAGACTCACAGGGCTTAACATGACTGAACTTCACAGTCCGGCCTGTTTAAGCTGGTGTCAGCAACATCTGCACTAGAACCCGAACATGTAGAGGAATGTTATGTTCAGCAATGTGTCCTGAATCTGCCTAAGGCATGGAGTGAAAGTGTGGAGCAAACACAGAGAATGATGTGGTGATTGCTGCACGATGAGTGAAAGCGTTTGGTGGAATCACTGTGATGCTGTGAGGCAGCAGCTCCCTTACTAGAAAAGCAAGCCTTGTCATCAGTTTCATTCGTGTCAAGGAACAGAGATATTGAGATGAGATTCTGCAACCAGTGGCAGTCCCATATCTCCACAGTCTGGGCCAGAACTCTATCCTCCAAGATAGCAACATGCACTTCCACAAAGCGAGATTTAGCATATACGACTGAGAACCCTGTTTGTTGAATTAATAAACTGTGATAATTGCAATATGTCTAGTTTCTAGAAACTCTAATCACAGTTTTTCTATGGGCGCAATCCACATTGTCAACTCTGCTGCTATGATTGTGTGTGTGTGTTTACAGACCTTGCAGTGAGTTCAAGATGCAGAAGAGGTAGAGGGCAGGAGTGGTCAGGAGGCCAAATGAGAAAAAGACCAGACCCCAGGTAATGCCGAGCAGAGTCATGACTCCAGCCAGGGAGCAAATGTCTTTCTTTGCTTTGTCAAGGTTATTCTGCCCAAACTGATTTGCCAAATATAAAATGACATACCAGGTTACACACAATCTTAAGTTTGAGACCTTGAATTGTCATAAAAAAAAAAAATACTACATTGCTGGTTTTGGGTTTCCAATGGATACACTGATGGATTACTACTTAAATATTTCTTTTAGTACAGAATTACCTCTCTGGTGTGGTGGAGAATCAGAACACGTCTGATTGTCACCCCAAACATGATTACATTAAAGAGGAACACCAAGCTGAACAGTACCACTGTAGTCCATATTTTCACGTAGTAATTGGTTATATAGCATCTATTAAAAAAAGAGCA